AAAAGATCACACCTGGTCAGAGAGTATTAAATTCTAAATAACATTCATTCAAAATTGCAACATCCTGTGAAACTTAAATCGCAAGGCCTTTTGAATTCACTAGATAAGTAATACACGAGTTTAAGAAAAATAGGGCTTTCTTTTTACCTGTAAAACACACATCTACTGAGGTAATTAAACCTTATTAAAGTGCTTCTTGTATGCCATGTCTTTAATTTTGACAAAAATTATTTAAATTTAATTGAAATAAATTTTTACTGTAACTTTGGAACACATTTCCTTTTTTAAAAGTTTATCACAGGATTACTATGGAAGTTCTATTATCATGATTATATTAAATTCTTGGTTTAACAAAACATAGGTGTCATTTTTTAAATTTATTAAGTTACTTTATATGCTATTTTATATATATTTTAATAAAAAAAATGTTCACTGCATTATTAACTAAACTCAACTGACACCATAAATCTATATGAGGCTTAAGTTAATGGTGAAAATTGTCCAGTAACCATAAAATATATCTGAAACATTCAAAACATTTTGAATAACATTGAAAATGTTAGTCACAATTCAGTTTTGAGATTATTTGATCAGCTTGTTTTATTTTTATTTTAAAGGTGATATATATATGTATGTATATAAGTGTTGATGAATATGGTGATGAAGTTATATTATGTTTATTGTGAAATTTTGGTTTCAATGCTATATTGAATACATTTTTAATTTCAAATTGTTGTTCAAATTTCTAGCCAGGGGAAATAGCTGTTGTTAAAAACAGTTCCTAAATTGATGAAATACAATAGATAGATACAAAAAATAGGTCTAGGTTGGTTAAGACTTGGTCGAGTATGGTTCAGACTAGGTCGAGTATGGTTCAGACTAGGTCGAGTATGGTTCAGACTAGGTCGAGCATGGTTCAGACTAGGTCGAGCATGGTTCAGACGCATATAAAATGGTTAAGTACTGGTCGAGTAAGGGTCGAGTACAAGTTCAGACTGTTAAGTATGGTTCAGACTACAGTCGAGTATTATCAAGTAAATTTCAGACCAATTCAGACTGGTCGAGTAAAAATCAGTACAGTCGAGTACAGATATAGGCCATTTCAGACTTTTACTGGTTTGTAGTGTATGACAATAAACTGGCTGTAAATGTATCTAAAACGAAAGCTTTATGTATTGTCTCTAAACAGAAGCTTTCTGTTACATCAGATGAAAACATTAATAGTGACATGAATGGACAACAAGTTAAAGAAAGTACATGTGAAAAGGTTCTAGGTATTTTTCTTGATGCATCTCTCTCTTGGTCATCTCATAATGATGATATAATAAAAAGTCAACTCTTCTTTAGCTTTAATAAAAAGGATAAAGAAATACTTGAATCACAAAGCTAGACAACTGTTTTATAACGTTTACGTTTTACCTCATTTAGATTATTGATGTTCAATATGGGGAAACTGCAACAACTTTCTATTAGATAGTTTACTAAACCTTCAAAAGAGGGCAGCAAGAATAATTTTAGATGAACATGATTACACCAAACCTTTAAGTGAATTATTTTACGAATGTAACATTGTGCCAATTACACAAAGAATACATTATCATAACTCATTACCAATGTATAAGGCAAAATATGGTTTAGCTCCTCCAGAATATTTGTTAAGTTTTATTTTATCAGCTTCTGCAAACCAAAAATACAATACGAGATTTTCGTCTTCAAATAATTTTATGATTCCAAAACCAAATACAGAGTTGTTTAAGTCTAGTTTCACGTATAATGGACCAAAAGTTTGGACTGCTCTTCCTAATACAATTAAAAAATCAAACATAGTATTAGAATTTAAGCATAAATACAAATTTATGTACTTTTAACATTACCATGATACGTTTACTGTATTGCCATATAATAATTGTTTATTGAATTTAAATTGTATTGCATCTTTATTTATCATTATTATTGAATTTATATTGTTTATTTTTAATGTGATTATTATTGTATTAAGAGAGCCTTATTGAAAATTGGTGTAATCCAAATGAGTTACTCTCTCTAAATAAATATATTATTCTTATTATTATTATTAATAATGTAAGTTGCTTGATTTGATGGTGTGCTTTTTATTCTGGAACTTCCTGTGAAGAGCTTCATGCTGCATGGGTTCGGCAATTACTAGTATTACAAACGTCATTTTATTTAAAGCGATTGTAACAACTCCCTTAAGAGTTTGAAAGCGTTTCCGAAAACATCGCCTAGTGTTTGATAGCGTTTGAAAACAAACCACCTTGAGCGTTTGATGGTGACAAACCCGTAAGTCTCAGACCAGTAGATGTTGCATAAGGTTTTGAACTCCTTGAAGGCTAGGTCCAAACATAGGTCACGGTGAATGTGTTTGAAAATTCGTGTTGCATTGTTGAAAGAGATCATGACACACAAAGTTGGATCGTCTTGCGCGAGAGTTTGAAAGAGATATAATCAATCGGCTTGTTGAGTCTAACTCGGACGTAGAATGCTCAGCATCAAGTCGTCAAAAATCACCAAGATCTTATGGTTGGTGTCAATCCCCGAGAGTCTGTTCGAAGACGAACGCGTCGACGCTGCTACGCTGCCTTGGTTGGGAAAAAAACGTCAATGACATCGATGAGTGATGTGAGATCCTTACCCATATAATAACGGACAGGACGTCGCGTATGTTGTCTTTCGAGAACCTCTTCCCCAGTGCTTTTTGCAGGAGTTGATAGGTAGGTTGAGATAGATAAGATATTTTCCAAAGACGTACAAACTATCGAAACATAAACACCCCGACCGGAGGAGTAGGTTGTTTAGCAGCGTCGTCTTACGGCAGTCCGGGGTGTAAGAGGAATACAGAGACAAACAGTCGCTTCGAATTTACAACTAGCAACGGGCGACGACGGAGGGGTGGATCGAGGAAATTCCACTTCATGAGTACTACCAGTGTATGTTTCATGAACAAATTGAATAACAACTTGCCGATGGAGATGCGTCGTTTGGGGCACAACTTCACGGAACCTGGTACTAAGCTGAATAAACGATTATATACAGTTAGAACCCCAAAACCTTGGTCCATACCTATCAATGAGTAGCTCTATTGAGTCCTCTATCATCCTATTTTCGTGAAGTTAACGAACCAAATGGTTCTTCATATTTAAGTTTGTGCTAATGTTCCCCCGTTGGTAGAAACACATTCACACTTGCCCACCTTGTCCATTATTTTTTTCTCATGTTCTTTGATTGCTGCATCATGTTCTATCTTCATCCATTTTATATCCGTTTTAATCTGGTCGCACTAGGTTTCATATGTGCTGTCTCTTACGTTTTGAATGACTCACCGTTTCACTACAGTATCCGAACTGCCCTCGGAGCTTTTAGAATGGTGATACGGTTGTCGTTCATGTTCAGGTCTTCGCAGAAACTACCCATGATCATCCCTCCCTATCCATATAATCCAAATTAATTTACCCTTGTTTTATTTATTTATAGCAGCAAAGAGAACACCACTTCATCAAACAATAGACATTCCGACAAATTTCAGCAAAGGTGCCAACAGACCATCTCTCCTCTTATCTGTGTTTCATCTGTGTTGTATCGGATCGCGCAACGTAAGTACTCAATCATCTCCGTAAGAAGGTTTAAATATAAAGATAAGAAGATCTGGTTTGATTACTAATGAGACAACTCTCCACAAGAGACCAATTGACACAGACATTAACAACTATATGCCACCGTCCGGTCTTACGTCGATAAGAATCAAAGTAAACATCAAATATGTCTCTAGATCCGTTCATGGTTCGTTGGGTAAGTCGAATACTTCTAATCGTTCACTCCTCGCTCGAGTTCCAACGTTGTGTGTTGGGTGAAAATATTATCCACATGTGTATATTATCCATTTAAATCAGATAATGCCCGCACGTGGACGAGGGTACTTATACCGTCTTCAAGGATGTTGTGTTTGGATTGTCATCATCAGCTGCAATGGCTTTCTTGCGACATTCGAATGAAGAATCGCTTAATAGGCCGTATCATGTCATGGTCTACAACTGTCTTTTTATAAACCTTTCCATGATCTTTGATATAATGCTGGTAAAATAACTGGTCTGTATGTAGTTTTGCTATAGCTTTTTATCTCCCTTTTAAACAACGCAGTAATCTTGGCCAATTTTCTAACATACTCGTACAAAACCTCTGATGAAAATAAACTGTTGAAAATAATACAAAGTAGAGTGTCAATTAAGTCTGTAAGTGTATATAGAACTTTAGGTTGTACCTGGTTAGCACCTTATGAGTTTTCTTAACGTATTCAAGTTTTTCGATAATTTGCTAACTTTTCTTTTGTTTAAATGTTTCGTTGCTAGAAGGTTCTTCGCACTAAATTCTTTCAAAAAAGTTTCATCTTTATCATTTTTTTTCGAAATACCCTTGAAAAAAATTCAGCCTGTATTCTGCCTTCTCTTTATCAGTACTTACAATACACATTTTAACATCTCTTATATCATGTAATTCGAATGTGTCAGAGAAATCATTTTTCTTTCTTCAAAAGACAAGTATTTTTTGTACGTACAGTATGTTTATATAATCATATAATAATGCGCCACTTAATCATATGAATTAAAATTGTTTGGATTGTAAGTGTTTTCTTTGGCAAGCCGTTCTCATCGAAACTATGTTTAAACACTTTTTCGAAACATTTACACACTGAGAATAAAAAAAAAAGACACACTGACATTTAAAAAACCTAACAAAAAACACACTGAGCAATAGAAATTTCATACCGAGATTTTAAAATTACATACTGAGATTTTAAAATTATACACTGAGATTTAAAAAAAATGCTTCAATTTTTTTAATGGTTTTGTTTAACCAATAACAGATTATGAAACTCATCATTATCAATACAATAGTAATTTGCCATATTGTTGTAAAACGAGAAAAATAATTAATTAACAAAAGTTTTACCAGAAAATTTAACTGACATTGCCATATATTGGCAGAGAATCGAGCGATGTTGGTTATCAAATAGGCAAGGCGGCGGCCAATTCTGGATTGCTTTTATGAAAGATCTTCAGGAGACAGGGATATTTTCAAGTGCAAACCACGCACAAGTGTTAGGTTAACAGTGTGTGTGTTAATGACTTTAAACCATAGTGAATATTAAAAAAAAAAAACACACACACACACAAAACCACCAGAGAAGAATTGTTATAAGTGTACGAAAAATTGTCATATAAAAAAATTCTTAAAGTTCTTTGCTAAATACAACAACACAAGAAACCAAACAAACATCCTTCTAAACTTACTGCACCTTTGAATATAGATTTAATCGTAAGGGTTATTATTATGATATGGTTGTCCAATCTTTATCATTTGTATTTGTAGGACGGAACATTGATTCCCTTTAAGTTCCTTGATACATTCCTAATTCCTTGTTCATATGTTTCATATAACCGTTTACTTTAGGTTACTGCCTGTTGATATTATGGTCTCTCTCGGGGAATCCTGAACTTTATAAATTGTTTATGACGCTATGGTATGAAATCACCTGAAGTAGTATAGCTGACGTTCTAGTCTAAGGGGTCTTATATCATGTATATAGCTGTTACTTAACAGTGAGCATTCTAAGTATGCGGCACCTTTTTATTACATAAGTTCGATATTATATGTTTTTAGTTGAAGTGCTGACCTTTAATATTTAACCCCGCCGCGTACAATACGTGCCTGTCCAAATCCAGGAATCTGTATTTTCAGTGGTTGTATAATGTTATTTGTTGTCTGCTTTTTCTGTTGATACTTTGTTTGTTCTGGTATTTAAGGTAAATGAGCTTGAATGTTTGACATTTAGCATGTTTAGTTCGGAGGCATTTATTTCTTCTTGTGTGTGGTGGTATGTTGCTCACTGCTGAAGGCCACAAATACCTCTATATGTTGGTATTGTTTGCAATGTTATATACCAATGGTGTAAGGTTGTCTCATTGATGCATACCATTTCTTTTTCAAACATGCAAACAAAACAAATAATTGCTCCAAGGAGCCCGAATCAATCATCTATTAATGATAGTGAAAACCGTTTAAAATCAGGGATACAAAAAAAAAAAAAAAAAAAAAAATCTTTCCCGACCAGAACACAGTATATTTTTGAAGATAATAGAAAAAAAAACATTAAAAGTTTCATCACAATTTTAACGTGTTCAATGATATGTGTTTCCTGGTTACAGTTACCTTCTTCATGTATAATTTCTAGTTAACAGGCAAAAGTGCAAACAAAAGTATGAAAATTGTCTTTTAAGGGCCATTAACACTTAGTGGAGGTATATTTAATTTTGGTGCAAGTGATTCACCTTGTCAGATTTTCTGCATTTAGTACTTTATCATCTTTCCCTACGGCTATATCCGTTTCCTCAACATATCCGTAAAACTCGTATCACGATAGCGCGTGCTCTGAGGAGACATTATCAACTTGAGGAGGAAATATCAACAAATTCTCCTAACATTTATTCCATCATTGTAATTATATTATGTCACTTACAAAGATGACTTGACCAAATAAATTACACTTGCATACCAATTTTTCCATTGTGCAATTTTTATGTTGCAAAATTTTCCTTTTATGCTTGAATAAGCAATAGTAAAAACGTGTCCCACCGGATTCTTAATAACGTCTGCCGGGACTACTTTTTTTTAAATTGAAATATGTGACCTTACATGAACTCCTGATATGACCTACATTGAGATCAGTCTACCGAAACAGATGTCAACGAAGCGGGGATGGAAAATTTAACGATTAAAACTATATTTACAGTATAAACCAATTATTCACAGTAAAACCAATAACAAATTAAATCTAAATTGTTTAAATGCACTTGTGTTAAATAACAGTAAAGCTAAAACATTTTACATTAGATTATGAAAAGTTCTATATCAGAGCTCAAACACCCTTTTCCAGACAAGTCTAAAGCTCTTATTTCGTCTGCTGAAACAAAACAAAACAAAACAAACACACAAAATGGCCACTGATACTGAGAGTGAATCATGGAAATCGGTAGACAATTCAGACACAAATACATTATTAAGTGAAATCGACAGCCCTTCATGCAGTTACTGGGACTTCTCAAAACCAAATTCAAGCGCTAGATATAAATATCTCCGTGTAAATGTTCACAAAATACAAAAACAAAGTGCCACAAAGGCAAAACAAAAGGAAAATGCAAAAGAAGACAAGAACACTAAAACTGACAGTGATCAAACTGCATCTTTTGGCACAACATCCTTAGCAAAAGCATCAGAGAGTGACCGTTTCAGAGATGTAACAGATGATTTATAGACTCCTTCCTTAGAAGAGCAACTTAATAAAAATACTTCCAAGAAAACAAAAACTGATTTGAAAATTTTCCAATTGTTCTTAAAATCAAAACACGAGGAAAAAAGAAACATTGAACAAATACCACCACAACAGTTGGACAGATATCTTAGTTTTTTCTTTCTTAGCGCCACGAAGGAAAAACAAACAAATGATGCTATTGAATATGAACAATCATCTCTTAAGTCAATACAGCAGAGCATTAGCCGACATTTAAAGGATAATGAGTATGAATGCAATATTATAACTGATGATGAGTTCCACAAAAATCGTCAGACTCTGAGCGCAAAATTTAAAAACTTAAAATCACTTGGTATTGGTAATAAACCCAATGCTGCAGACCCTTTGACAGATGACGATCTCAACAAATTTTATATGAAAAAAGTTATGGGGTCAAATATCCCTCGCTCTCTTATTAACACAGTATATATTAATAACAATTACCATACTGGTTTTAGAGGAGTTACTGAACATTACAATTTATCTTGGGGTGATATATCACTAAAAGTTGACACAAATGGAGACGAATACCTCCAGGATTGTCGTGAATGGCAAACAAAAACAAGACAGGGCGAAAATATAACAAATCTAAGAAAATCAGGACATTCTCAGTAGAAAACAAAATTGACCGCACCAGATGTCCTGTGTTTCAATATAAACTTTTTCGACAAAAAAGGCCAGAAACCATGAAAAAAAGATGATTCCCCTTTTTATATTCAGGCTTCAACGTTTCAAGATGATAACTATGAATCAAAAATTCTTTGGTACAAAAATCTAAGACTTGGAACTAAATCAATTGCTAAAATAATAAAAGATATGGCCACGGAAGCACTACCCAATAACGATAAAAGACTCACTGGTCATAGTGCAAGGAAGGGTTCAATCCAAAAACAAAAAGACAATGGAGTGCAAGACACAGAAATTGTACAAAGAACAGGACATAAAAATGTTAACAGTTTGCTGTCGTACTCCAAAACAAGCTTGGAACAACAGAAAAAAACATCATTAATGCTATCTACAACAAGAGAATTAGAGCATCCTACAGTTACTAAATCTGATAATAAAGAAAATACCTCACCAGTATTAGAGACAATAACATCAACACAGACTCAATCAACTGTTAGTAACAACAGTAAACAGTCAATTTACAAAGGAAATTTTAACTTTTCGAACTTACATCCCGCAATGAGTGGTCTTTTCACAAATGCAACATTCCATGGTGGAAATTTCAATTTTACCTTTAACAATGGGACATCGTCAGATCAACAATCCTCAGATGACAACAAAAAGAACAAAAGAAAGCGTCTCTGTGTAATTGACAGTGACAGTGATAGTGATTTCTAAAATATAATAATCATTCAATTCATTTATTAGTTGTGGGGTTATCCAATATTTTCATTACTCAGTATGCTTTAACAACTTTTTAAAACTAAACGCAATAAATATCTGACCAACAAATGTATTTCATGTATCAAATCAATTGCTAAAATAATATAAATTTCTCCAGATGCTCTACAAATAATAAGACTCACACTGTATCAGTATCATACTACAAGTGTAAAGAAATGAAAATAGTCTTATACTGAAAATGTGTAAAAATATATTTGCTTTAAGCAATTATGATTTAATGTATTTGCAAAGAGAACAAATTACCAAAACAAATCATCTTGCATATCAACCTATTATTACTAGTATTGTTTAAAGCTTCAATTTACTTCATGTAACCTGACACCAGTCTGCAAATAACAAAAAAATAAGAAGATGCAATATAAAAACACCAATAAAAAAGATTATCAACTTGAGATGAAAGCAAATTTACATGTCAGTCATGTATATGGACTTTAACAATGATCAAAACACATACGCTCACTCGACATTTACCTTCATATTCTGGCTCGCGGGCTGATATTTTTCTATATCTATATATCCACAACCAGATAGCATGTACATGTATAATCAATTATAAAATGAAAGGTAAGGATTTTTTTTTTTTGGGGGGGGGGGGGGAGGGTGCATTAATGGCTGTTTATGATTATCAATTTAGCATGTATAATTTGTCAGGTTTTCTACATATATTGATATAAAATATCAGTTGCAAGTTACAATGTTAAAACTGGTGTAAATCATAATTATATTGGCTATATGTAAATTGATCATTCACATGAGATAGACTCAAGTAGGCAAAATATTAATTGATTTATACATGTTAAACATGTTAAGATTCCATTTATAGTATTTATTGTTTCAGTGTAACTAAGTTAGGATTTGAACCTAAGACCTTCTCATAAAGAGATGCTCTGACCCCTGAGCTACCTAGTTGAATACACTGAAAGCATATACATTTCTCCAAGAATCATAAACATGATGTATCTTATCATTTAACTCAAAATTACCAAAAGAATGATACATTTATATCAATGTACATGGACCAACAGTTTGCAGCGAAGCAATATTGAAAAACATTTCAAAAATTCAGGTGATCTGGTTCTGTTATTGTTCCTTTAATAGGGACGAAAATACCTGCGGAAAATATGTTTTCCACAATGATAACATAAGGAAATGGTACCCAAAAACTTGAACCAAATACCGTCCCAATGCAATTTGGTGGGGAAGTCGGTTCAAAAATAACACCTACCTTCCATGTCCTCTCACGTACAAATGGCGGGTACAAGGTGCGAGATGTCGAGGTATTACTTACAAAAAGGACAATTTACCAATACCTGTCTTTCTCAAATTAACTTCTCCTTAATAAATTACGACTACTAAATATTTATGTACTCTCAGACTTGATACAAACAACATTTTGATGCGATATTTCTGGATTTTTTTTTTGTGCAGCGTATGCTTAGAAGTTATTCAGCAGTCAACGAGTAGAAATTTTCTTCTTCTGGTGATATGAAATACTTCGATCTTTCAATCTATTATTATGCCTTGTTTCTTCTTTTTTTTGTATCATCTTCAAATATTATACATCCATATATGCATTATCATGTACAAAAAACATTTTTCTTCATGTAGTTAATGGGAATATTTTACCCTGAGTATTTTGGCCGCAAGGTGTTCCTTGGTTTAATATGTCAATGCCGTGTGTTGCCTAGTAATAACAGAGACACTCCGGTAATAAAAATTCCCGCGAAATTATTAAAAAAGGAAATTTTGATAAAAAACATTGCTTTGAAAGATGATAAAAATGTTATCTGAATGTGGATTGTACGCTCACTCGACATTTAGCTTCATATTCTGGCTCGCGGGCTGATATTTTTCTATATCTTCTATATCTATATATCAACAACCAGATAATATGTACTTATTTTTTTATACTAGGTTGCTATGTTATTTGTTGATGAAACGCAAATACCGTAAAGACCAATCACGTTTTGTTTAATTGTCTTATTGAAGATATACAGGCGACAGAAACTGATAGCAAAACCTCTTAATTGACGTCTTTGTAAACCAAGAATAAAAGTTAATTCCCGTGAATGTTAGTTGATTGACCATCAACATATATATTAATAATTGTTGGATTTATGTGTATTAGCAAAGATATTACAATTACGATACACACGCTTAAGTTACAAAACATTTTGTCATTACCTTTACTAATATTTTATTTTACAGAGAATGCTTGCACTTCTGCTTCACTGGTTTAATTCAAAAGGATTTAAATCACTGTAGGCAAGATTGGAATCAGCACAAAATTCGCCAAACAAGGCAAGCTGAATCACCTGGTGGAAAACCTGATTTACTGTATTACATACCAGAACTTAGTGGTAATAAAACAATTTTTGAATCAGTTACTATTTTTGATTCAATCTGTGAGCAGCAACTTAATTCATTCTCCAGAAGGGTACTTTCTTTAAGACGCAATAACGTACGTTATTTTATAATTACCATATGTTGCAGGTCTCTATAAACATGTTAAAGGGATTCGGTTATTTTATTCGATTTCTAAAGAATTTTGGAGGTCGCAAGTCGAAAAAACCGCTCTTACAGGTCGACAGTAGACTCCTGATACATGTATGATAATAAATTGTTCAAATAAGGCCTTTGAAAATAGTGGAATTAACTACTTTTGGAGTGTCAAAAACTCGTTGAAAGTACTTGATAAATTGCATGCATATATTGGTGATTTTGAATCTGTTCAAAGTTTTGATTTTTCTACCCTATATACCACTTTGCCTCATATTCTAATTAAGAAAAAATTCACACACCTAATTAAATGGGCATTTAAAAAGTCGGAATGCGAATACATATGTTCAAACTCTTTTAGGTCATTTTTAGTAGCAACAAACAAAAGAGCTATGTCAATTGGACATGCTTTGATACTATATCTGTCCTTGAATTTTTACTTGATAACATTTTTGTTCGCTTTGGAGATTCCGTATATCATCAAGTCATCGGAATTCCAATGGGGACTAACTGTGCACCACTTATTGCGGACCTGTTTTTGTACTGTTATGAGTTACAATTTATGACTAAAATCAGCAAAGACCCATCGAAACAACATTTTAACAATACTTTTAGATATTTGGATGATATATTGGCTCTCAATAATGTCAACTTCAGTATGTATACTAAAGAAATTTATCCTGTTGAACTTACTTTAGATAAAGCTAATACTAACAATGACCACTGTCCTTTCCTCGATCTCGATATCTATATCATTAACGGGAAGCTTAATACAAAAATTATGATAAAAGAGATGATTTTTCATTTCCTATCGTTAATTTTCAATTTTTAGATGGTGACGTTCCCTTGTCACCATCTTATAGTGTTTATATATCTCAACTTTTACGATTCGCTCGTGTATGTAACAACGTATTAGATTTTAGCGAGAGAAATTTATATATTACTGAAAAATTATTACAGCAGAGTTTTCCATATCATAAACTAGTCAAAACATTTACTAAATGTTATCATCGGTATACATGTAAGGACATCATTCGTAAATATAACTCAACATGCAGACATCTTATACGTTCAGGTATTTCACATCACATCTTTTATGGTAATATTCTTTACAAAGCACAAAAATGTCAGTATTCACTTCAAAAGCAAACAAAACCTTTAAACAGACTTATTAAGAAGGAATATAGTTACGATACTGTTGTCAGGTCATTAAAGATTGCATATTTTGGCTTTAATATTGATTCACTTATAGGGTCTTTGCATCGGAATTAAACATATTTATTCTAAAACCAGTTGTTGGCATGACACGGGTTATGTTCTTCTCATATATTTTATGACGGTATAATACTAAACCCTTAACAGGAGGGATTGTGCCTGATATTCATATGATGAAGACATAATCTTTCAATCAGTTTAATTGAGGTCTTGAGCTGGCATGTCAGTAACTGCTAGTAGACTGTTGTTATTTATGTATTATTGTCATTTTGTTTATTTTCTTTTGTTTCCTATTCTGACATCGGACTCGGACTTCTCTTAAACGGAGTTTTACTGTGCGTACTGTTGTACGTTTGTTTTTTCTACATTGGCTAGAGGTATAGGGGGAGGGTTGAGATCTCAAAAAACATGTTTAAACCCGCCGCATTTTTGCGCCTGTCCCAAGTCAGGAGCCTCTGGCCTTTGTTAGTTTTGTATCATTTTTAATTTTAGTTTGGAGTTTAGTATGACGTTCATTATCACTGAACTAGTATACATATTTGTTTAGGGGCCAGCTGAAGGACGCCTCCGGGTGCGGGAGTTTTTCGTTGCATTGAAGACCCATTGGTGGCCTTCGGCTGTTGTCTGCTCTATGGTCGGGTTGTTGTCTCTTTGAAACATTCCCAATTTCCATTCTCAATGTTATTGTAAAGTTTTTAAATATTCATATCTATGTTTGTTTGCTTGAGTGTCCTTTAAGCACATGCCCTTTGATTTATAACTCCTGCATTTGGACACTATAGTATTTGTTCATATGCATCAGCCACGAGGAGGACTTAACTCATTAAAGCTGATTTCATAATGGATGTGATGCTGATTCTGCTGCGTGGTCAACAAACACAAAACATTTTGGTTTTACATATGGCTATATATTAACTCGTATTGTATTTGATGTTTGAGCTGTGTTTTTTTTTTTTCATTTGTATTAACTGTATTGTATTTGCATAATATAAAAAAATCACTTTACTGATTATGCCCATGATCATGGATCCTCTATTGGAGCTAAAATTTATCTTATCTTATCTATTATGTAAGTTTTCAAATATTTGTGGATTAAGTAACAGATGATTTATGATTTTCCATAAAACATAACTGCTGAATTTTTACTCTGCAGGTGCAGTTGATTACAAAACAGACATATCTGTACAAGACATCGACGAAGCGATGCAGTACTGTGAATTCCCAAGACCGAGTGGATATTTGGAAGAACTCGATCAGATCTGCACTAATCTAATGCAGCAACATGCAGAAAGTTATTCAAATGATCCTTATGAGGCATTAGACTTATACAATGTGTTGCTTGCCACTGTAATTGTGTAAAAAATGCAATAAAAATGAAATGAAACAGTTGCTTTATACATAAACTACCAGAGGGAAAATAATTCGTGTACCAAATTAAAGGAGTATGGCCACGAAGTGCCGATATTGGCCCTGTGAGGTGATAAAAAATAAAAGAGAAATAAGGTGGATCCTTTATAGCTAAAACATATCTACGTATATCGTTATTTGTTATTATAGTATAAAATCATATTTTTGTGACGTCATTAATGTGACGTAATACCCGGAATCAAACCGGAACGCTCAAAATGTCCAAATTTTAAAAGAATTTCACACTTCCTGGTTAAATTTTGCATTGGCCACAGGCCTCGACCAAAGTAATTTTACTTTTATTTTGATTGTTTGACACTTTGACTCAGTTTGCAACAATATTTAGCGTGGTCGAGGCCTGTGGCCACATCGAAAATTTAACGTTTGCTTACAAACAAATCCTGATTCAACGCCGCCATTTCCGAAGTACGATAGATTTTGTGACGAAATAACTGTACCAAGAACTTGAAAAATTGCTATAAATAGAATAAATTCTATAATTTATTAATTTCTTATTTATCATGTTTATAACAAACAAAAAAGAAGAAAATGGAATAACAAGTCTTTGTTTTTAGCGAAGCTATGTTAACCACCGATCCGGCGAGGTTTTTTAACACGGATAGATACGTCCTCATAGCTATCAGAAAACAAGACAAATATAGTTCACAGTTCATTTCACTTTGAGTTAAAGAAAACAAACACTATGGATAGTTGTCTCATTGGCAATCATACCACATCTCCTTTTTATATATAGACGAAAATACAAATAATAACAAAGTACACTCGAACTTTTTTCGAGATAAGAATGATAGTTGTATGAGGAATACCGGAACGCTTTAACAATGAGCAAGACTAGTTAAGATTACAATATAAAAGCTAATTAAGAATAAATTGACAATTGTGAAAACCTTAAAAAGAATTTCAGTTTAAAATTTAAAGGGGCATTAGCTGTAAAATTCATGTTCACCGATTTGACTCAAATTCTCATATTCGACTTATAACATACTAAAACGTATATCCAATTTAAAAAATAGTATAAAATAAACAGTTTACGATGCATAGACTCGATAGTATGTATCAGCAGTTCGTGTGTATTTTAGTCTAGACGCTATCTAATTAACCATCGAGGCGACCATCTGAAGACTGCCGACGGTCATCTTACCCGATATAAACATGAACAAAGATATAATAGATAGCAAACTCGTGCAATCGGCTTTTTCTAGATCTGTTTTATTTGATATTATAGGTTAAATCAATATGTTAATAATCGTTTTTACCTGTATAAGAATGAGTTTTTGTAGATCGAATCAATCAACCAAATAGTTTTTGTTTCACTTCCAATGTTGACATTCTTTTTCTTTTAGTACCTGAACACGCCTAGTTCATGCGTAACACATCTCTAGTTGAGGGGTTCAATTGAACTTCACATGAATACGGATTTAATAAGGTCGAATTATCCACTTGCAAGTGAATAATTCATTAGCGAATTTCTTTGCTTATTTTGACAAAACTGAACCAAACCGGCTGCTAAAAGCGAATTATTTATTTGTTTCACTATTTCACTTTCATTAATGATTGAACAAAAAACATATTTTTTTTTCCTATATATTGTAGCTAATGCCCTTTAACGAGAACACGAATCATAGAATAATAAAAGTATTTTTCTTTTAAAACTTAATTGATAGAAACATGCAAAAGTCGGATAGATTTAATTGAATATAGCTAAATCGCTAAATGAAATCGTCCACAATGGACAACTGAGATTGAGTATTCTGTCAGATTTTTGTTTTTTTAAACTAGGCAGTGGCTATTTTTGCCGCCGCTGGCAAAATAGAAAATATGCTATTTGTCGTCTTTGATTAAAATATCTTAATTAAAACAAGCAAAATAGCATATTTCGATAGCAATGACTATTTTGTCGGAGCCGGCAATATAGTGAATTTGTTATTTTGCCGGTTCTTTGTAAAGAGTGAATTTTAATATTAACTTGTGAAAAATACTACGAAAATGTGGTTTTGGTGTCTGATGACTTTTGTACAATTATAGTGTGGTTCTATGATTATTGAAGTACATGTAATGCTATGTACTGTCTATACATGTACATAATGTTTATCTTTATCTGTGTTTTCAACTTTTACTTCTTTACTAGAAAATAAACTTTTCTGTGTTCAAGTGATTCACGGGTTTCTTTCCATATTCAAGTAAGATAATGTGGTGTGATCAACTATCCTCATACTTT